TGAAATGCAAATTTGGTCAGAAGATGATAAATCAAGTCGTAACCTTTACATTGTCTTAATCAGGCAAGTAGGGTTTGTTTATCTGATTTATTTGTATTGTCAAGATGCTCTTGAGACTTACCAGGTGCCTCTATTTGGTTATACTTTGCCCACTGCAGTATGCATGGACTAGTGCGTGGAGAAAATATGGAGCTTGGAAGAGACTCTGATACTGGTGGCCAGGTAATGGTGATTCACGTGTCGCCTCTGGTTTTGTTAGCTTTGCATCAACCTGAAGGGTCTTGTTAATGGATGATTAGGTGAAATATGTTGTTGAGCTTGCTCGTGCTTTGGCCAACACTGAAGGTGTCCACAGGGTCGATCTCTTAACACGACAGATCAGTTCACCAGAGGTTGACTCAAGCTACGGCGAGCCAATTGAAATGTTATCATGCCCTCCAGAAGGTAGCGGAAGCTGTGGTTCCTACATTATTCGCATCCCCTGTGGTTCTCGGGACAAGTACTATTACAGAAAACTCCTTAGAATTTAAGTATTCAAATTCCTTCTTTGTAAAAGAACAGTTAGTTTCTCTATACTCATGTTTTTTCAAATGCAGGTACATACCTAAGGAGTCACTCTGGCCCCATATTCACGAGTTTGTTGATGGGGCGCTAAATCACATAGTGGACATAGCAAGGTCTCTCGGAGAGCAAGTGAATGGAGGAAAGCCAATATGGCCTTATGTAATTCACGGCCACTATGCTGATGCAGGAGAAGTAGCTGCACATTTGGCAGGAACGTTAAATGTGCCAATGGTGCTAACTGGCCATTCTTTGGGAAGGAACAAGTTTGAGCAGTTGCTTAAACAAGGGAGAATTACCAGAGAGGATATTAACAAAACATACAAGATCATGAGGAGAATAGAAGCTGAAGAACTGAGCCTAGATGCAGCCGAGATGGTGGTGACAAGCACAAGGCAAGAGATTGAGGCCCAGTGGGGACTGTATGATGGGTTTGATATCAAGCTGGAGAGGAAACTCAGGGTTAGAAGACGGCGTGCAGTTAGCTGCTTTGGCCGATACATGCCACGAATGGTGGTATAAGTCCTTTTCCGCCTCCCACAAGATCTGATCAATGAAAATGAGACAATAACAATGACTATCATATAAACTATACCAGCTAACTGAACAGTAAACTTAAGTGAAGTAGAGTCATTCACCAATCTTACCTGTCTTTTTGGCATCAGGTTATACCACCAGGTATGGATTTCAGCTACGTCTTGACACAGGATTCACAGGATGCTGACGCAGATCTGAAGTCGCTAATTGGCCCTGACCGAAACCAGATAAAAAAGCCTGTACCTCCAATATGGTCCGAGGTACTTTTTCTCATATCCAGTCTCCTGTAAATAGAAAGGTTACAGTCTTTTTTTTCCCTGCCTTTAAATCCGTGGAGCAAATAACTGCATGAACCTTACCATCTGCAGATAATGAGATTTTTCACAAATCCTCATAAGCCAACCATACTTGCACTGTCTCGCCCTGACCCCAAGAAAAACGTCACCACATTGCTCAAAGCTTTTGGTGAATGTCAGCCTCTTCGAGAACTAGCCAACTTAGTAAGTATCTCAGCATTTACTACTCTTACTACACATGCATGTCTAGTGAACTGAGATATGAAGATTTCTAATGGGCATTCTGCTCATTCACCTGGCTTGCTAATTATTTGGTAATAAACCTGTTCAGACACTTATACTGGGAAACCGAGATGACATTGAAGAAATGTCTAATAGCAGCTCAGTAGTTCTCATGAATGTGTTAAAGCTGATAGACCAGTACGACTTGTACGGCCAAGTAGCCTATCCCAAGCATCACAAGCAATCTGAAGTTCCAGATATTTATCGATTAGCAGCCAAAACAAAGGTACTTAACAGGAAAATCCTATTAAACAATATGACTCGCTGACGCTGTTTACTCCTCATGGTTCATCAAGTAGAATATACATCACAGACTTTTATTTCGATATGAGAATGCTCAGACCTGTGATAGTTTCTCTGAGTTTACAAACTACAAAAGATAGAAATATCAATAGCAATTCACAAGAACTCTTAGCTCCTACTCTTAGCAACATGAACACTGTAATTCTAAGGTGACTTTCTCTCTTGAAGGGGGTTTTCATCAATCCAGCTCTAGTGGAGCCGTTTGGTCTCACGCTCATTGAGGTAAGTAGCACCTATGCCAATCTCCAAGGTTATGCTTCCTTACCTCTTATACACACAACTTATAAGATCTTCATGCCGCACCATTTGTTGCGTATGACAGGCAGCTGCTTATGGTCTGCCCATTGTTGCCACCAAAAATGGTGGGCCTGTTGATATCCTGAAGGTAATCAAATTTCTTAATTACAAAACCAGCTGCATAAAGACATAGCCACACCTCACTGATCCCGAAAAGCTTATTATCATATGTTTTTGTCCCAGGCACTAAACAACGGTCTCCTAGTTGACCCCCATGATCAAGAAGCCATTTCTGATGCCCTTCTAAAGCTAGTTGCTAACAAACATCTCTGGGCTGAGTGCAGAAAAAATGGACTCAAGAACATCCACCGTTTTTCATGGCCAGAGCACTGCCGTAACTACCTTTCGCATGTTGAACACTGCAGAAACCGACACCCCACCAGTAGTCTCGACATAATGAAAGTTCCAGAAGAGCCGATAAGTGATTCTCTAGGGGATGTTGATGACATATCTTTGAGATTCTCCATGGATGGAGATTTCAAGCTCAATGGGGAACTAGATGCAAGTACTAGACAGAGGAAACTAGTCGACGCCATAAGTCAAATGAATTCTATGAAAGGTAGCTCATCTGTTCTCTACAGCCCTGGTAGGAGGCAGATGCTCTTTGTGATTACTGTTGATTCCTATAATGACAATGGAGACATAAAAGAGAATTTGGAAGATATCATCAAGAATGTGATGAAAGCTGCAGCTTTGACATCGGGCAAAGGAAAAATAGGTTTTGTACTGGCAACGGGTTCAAGCGTGCAAGAAGTTATGGAGATTACTAAGAAAAACCTGATTAATTTAGAAGATTTTGATGCAATAGTTTGTAACAGCGGAAGTGAGATCTACTATCCATGGAGAGATATGGTTGTTGATGCAGACTATGAAGCTCATGTGGAATACAAATGGCCTGGTGAAAATATAAGGTCAGTGATTATGAGACTTGCATGTACAGAACCTGCAACTGAGGATGACATCACAGAGTATACAAGCGCATGCAGTACAAGATGCTATGCAATTTTTGTGAAACAAGGAGTCGAGGTAACTCTTTCAATGAATCTATTTCTCATCAAGAGGACAGCTTAAACCTAATACATACATCCCTCAAAATCATGAAACTAGTATTGATCTCTATGTGTGTCAATGGCAGACTCGAAGAGTTGATGATCTTAGGCAGAGGCTACGGATGAGAGGTTTAAGGTGCAACATTGTCTATACGCATGCTGCAACGCGGCTAAATGTTATACCACTATGTGCATCAAGAATACAAGCAGTCAGGTTAGATACTGTCAAGACTAAATACTTTCTACAACCATATACGCTATGTGTAAGATAAATGAAAATGACACGACTTGATGGGTTTATGTAGGTATCTTTCGATAAGGTGGGGAATTGACATGTCCAAGTCTGTTTTCTTCTTGGGAGAAAAGGGAGACACAGACTATGAAAACTTGCTGGGTGGTCTCCACAAAACCATCATTCTTAAAGGTGTAGTGGGATCTGATAGTGAGAAGCTTCTTCGCAGTGAAGAAAATTTCAAAAGAGAAGATGCAGTTCCACGAGACAGCCCTAACATTTCCTATGTCGAAGAGAATGGTGGACCTCAGGAAATTCTATCCAGTTTAGAAGCCTATGGGATAAAGTAATCTTCTCTTTATTACAACAGTTCATATACTTCAATGGGTTGGTACATCGTGAATAATAACGAGACTACACAACATCATCTGTAAAATATTAGGTACTACAATAAAATAAAAAGCTGGATATAACTTTGCAAGCACGGATTCAATAGATTCCTAGTTCTTTAGGTGTTTGCACTCAACACATTCGTAGAAAGTTTGACAGCTACCTGAAGGTACTCTACTTAGTGTGCTATTGCCCCTCCCCTGGATTACCATACACCAACAACGTGTTCATCGTCACATCAGAGTTTTGCAGTTACAATTTTCCCTGCACAAGTCGAAGTAGCAGTGATTACCGAATTGGAAACCAAATTGAGCCTAAAATCCAAATGTACGATCAAATGCTAGCAGCCTGTGGATTCCAAAACCAAAATATGCTCGATCAGCACAACCAGAACACAAGGAGACACCATTGAATAATTGATTCATCAATACATGCCAATAATGAAACTGAAATCAGAAACTATGACAGAAAATTAGTCCTGATCTAGGTCTTACTCCAATGTCAAGGTTGCAGGAATCTGTATCAGAAATCATCACCACTTGGTCCTCTACATCTAACTTCAATCAATTCGACCGTAAATATCAGATAAGGCAAGACAGTATCTATATAGCTGCTTCTCGGTCAGATTCTTATCCTTGATTCATTTAATCAGAAGCACAAATGGAAACTTATAAAAGATTACGAAACAGATCTTTGCAAGAACACACAAAAGAAGACAATGTCTCGTGAATATTCTGGTTCGAGCAAATTGAAAAGGAGACCGGATTGAAACTAGAGAGGAAAGAACGAGAAGCAAAACCGAAAGTGCTCTTTTTTGTTTCCCATTATAATTCAAGTTCCAAACAGAACTAAAGTTCTTCAACTAGTATAACAAATGAGTACAAAAGACACAAAAGAATAAGCAAGCGGGAGAATTTCCAAATCTGAACCAAACAATATCACATTGGTTGCATTGATCACATCTCCAGCCATACTTTTCTTAAAAGAATCTATCCACACAGTCAAAATCATCCTCAAGCAGAATTCCTCTCACAATGGAATAAAGAGATCACCTTGACGAGAGAATCCTCAAACCCAGAATATACGTATTTCACCCTAAACCCAGATCACCACATTGCTCACAATTGATCATCTTGGAGAGGAATCTTCATATCCGAATCAACCCAAACTCGGGTTTTCAAAGAGCAAGATCCACAAGGAAGAACAACAGACGCAACAAAAGCACCTAATCTCCTAACTTTAACACAATCTCCATCTCTTAAGAATGCAAAACCCATAGTCTCTAGCTCAGAGGAATCAACAGAGAAGTAATCACCACACCTACACTGATAAAAAATCTCCATAACTTCACCTTCTCCAGCGATCTCAACTGACATATCCTCTACGCTAATCTCATCAGCAGTGATCCCGTCCTGTCTCGAAGATCGAAGGTCATTGTCGTAAACCACACGTAGCTCGGCGTCGCTTAAAACCTCCCACGCCTTTTGGATCTTCAGAAACTTTTCGTCTGAGCTACAACGAGAAGTGTTGATTTTATCAGGATGAGAGCGAAGGAGAGCGGAACGGTAGCGATTTCGGATTTCTTCATAGCTCGCATCCTCTTTCACGGAGAGAATCTCGTAGTACGTCTCGTGGACAGAGTTTTCACCGAGAAGCATGATTGTTTAAATCCCCTTCTGCAACGGTGGAGACGGACGGCGATTGGAATGGGATTGAGATTCTCCGGCGACGGCGACGGCGATAGAAGGTTAAGAGACCAAAGGGGAATTATAGGGATTAAGGGTAGGCATTTCGGTTTTCTAGAATAGGTTTTCCGGTTTAGGATTTTGGAAATAATGAAAAGTAAAACCGAGTTTTATTTTAGTTGTAAAAAAAGGGTTAATTAGCTCAATATGGCTCACCCCTTTGTTACATAGAGACTATGTATGTTCTACAATTACTTAATAATGAAAGTTTTACTTTGCCGGAAAAAAAAAAAATTAGCTCAATATCTAAGACCATGAACATTGCAGAGACTCAGTAGTATTTTAATAATATATGTTAGCTGAATACCTATATAAGAAATCTATTATTTTTGATTAAATATTGCAGAGATCCTTTGGAATTGTTTTTAAAAAAAAACATTTAACTCAAAAAAAGATAATTATTTCATTACAAATATTAAGAGAAGAACATAAAAAGAATTAAAACATAAATTTTGTTACAAACTTCAGTTGACATTTTAGTAATGTCCAAATTTTTGCCAGATATTCTCCATTAAATCGACTTTCAGTTTCTCATGTTGTCGTCTATCACAAAGTTTTGTTCTAGCAAACATACTATTCTCAAGATTTGAAGTATCTGTTTCATATGCGAGATCTACAGTTGCACTTCCGCTTCCTTCTCCGTGATGGAATTCTGAAACATTTGAGAGTGCGTATCCATCTTTTTCATCTTCTACGATCATATTGTGGAGTCCACAAAGTTAGTGGGTTGAGCATATGGATATGCCGAAGACATGAAAATGTTAGTGAAGAAATGAAAAGGTTGTGAAGAAAGGTAGGAAAAAGGAATGAAAAGGTTGTGAAGAAAGGTAGGCAAAAGGAATGAAGAGGTTGTGAAGAAAGGTAGAAAACAGGAATTAAAAGAGGAGCAGAGTAGCTGTTAAAAAGCAGAAGAAGGATCGGGTTTTAAAAACCAGAAAAATGGAAAGAAGGCATTGAAAGCAAACAACAAAGTCAGAAAACTCTCTAACGTTAAAAGCAATAAACACCAACTACCATCGATGAGACATAAAGGTCTCTAAACATTAAAGCAATCAAGACCTCAAACTTAAACATTAAAGCAATCAAGACCTCAAACTTAAACCTTAAAACTTCAACTACCATCGATGAGAAACATTCAAGCCTAACTAAATCCAGCCATTAATATTATTACCAACTACAAATCTCCCTAAAATGAACAAGCCTTTATTACATTACCAACTACAAAGCTACATTTTTATGCTAAAGCCTATTAATAAGGTTTGAAGATTGCTTACCAGGAATTACTTCTGTCTTCTGCTTTAATGCTCAAAGATTGCTTCACCTGTCTCGCCAATTTAGATGTATAGCCTTTAAGCTGCATTGAAAGAAAATCAAAAACCAAGTTTAGTTTCAAATAATGTACCCGATTGATGCATATCCTAAATCAGAGAAGGTTAACAAACAAACAACCAATCTGAATCAAATAAAATAATCCCAATCTCAAACATTGTCTTATTGTCACTTACACAAACACAACACCATATTTCTACATCACCGATTGAAGTAAGAAAATGGTATATACAACAAACAATTCAATTCATAAGAGATGAATGCAATACCATCGATCAGAACCCTATATTATACCCTATACCAAACCCACTAATCGAAACCACGAATCAAATAACCTCACATCAAATAATCAAACTGTTTCGATCCTAAAATCGAAAACCCTAAATTATCAAACCGATTGAAACCCATAAATCAAATAATCATATAATTTGATCCCTAACCAATTCAGAAGAAGAATCGAAAACCCGAACAGATGAAGATAGAATCGAAAACCCGAACAGATCAATCAAAACGGATTGATTTCGCAAAAAAAAAAAAATGAAGACAGGAGGGAAAAGAAGATGGCTTATCTCCGCGTCTCGATCCTCTGGTGTTGGCCTCCGAACGATGTCGACGAAGTCGCAGAGATTTGCCACCAAAAGCTCGTCATCGCCACCAAAAGATCGTCGAAGTATTTTACGGAGAATACGAGGAGAAGTGTGTCGGGGAAAAGAGGAAGGGAAAGAAAAAAAAAATTTTCCCCAAATTCATTTGCCAATCACAACGAAGCACGTGTCTCTCAATACCGTCTCCAACAGTTTCATTTTAAGCGACGTTGGACAAATTTGAGAGACGCGTTTTCGTAAAAAAATTGTTTTTTAATAACAAGAGACGCCATAGAGACGACCGATGTTCATGCTCTAAGGAGTTTTTCTGTTCTCTCTCTTCACTCATCTCTATCATTCAGAAAGAGAGAGAGCACTTTTTCTCCCTCTCTTATGTGCTCTATTCCAATCAATATCGGAGCCTCTATTCCGTTTTAAACAGATAATAATCTCTGACTTAATCCGGTAATAAATTTTCGACAAGTTTGGATATGTTTTGTCCTAATTCTTCCTGTGTTTTGGTCTTCTTATAGGTGATGCGGCATTTTAGTTCTGGCGATATGTGTCGGAATCTTCTTCTTCAATCTCTGGCATCATCCTCTCTCAAAGACAATCTTCACAGAGTCCCTATCATACGCCTAACGGCAAAGGGATGGGTGTTGAGTCAAAGATGATCAGCAATGATGATTTATGAAGAAGCAAATTTTCCGATCACAATTATTCACCGAACCATCAAAGAGGAGTAAAAACGGCAAAAGAATATCGGTTTTGATGAGTTTATCAGGTCGAACTCTTCAGATTTCGGTTTTCTGGTGAAGCTTTGAACGTCGACATCGTCGGCGTCAAGTCGATCGACATCCTTCCTAAGACTTCCACTGTTAAACACATGTTTTAAAATTATAATCTATACTCCCTCTGTTTCACAAAAAGTGTCGTTTTAAGGTTTTATTTTTGTTTCACAAAGAGTGTCGTTTTATATTTTCAATGCAGAATTTTAAACAATATTCCAGTTTTGACCATATTGATTTAATGTATTAATTAGAGAAAAAAATTATTTAATACATTAATAAAGGGCAAAATAGTATTTTTAATAGTTTTCTTAATAAGTGTGAAAAATATCAGAATGACACTCTTTGTGAAACGGAGGAAGTATCTCTTATGGTTTGGATTATAATTGGCCTTGTAATGTATAAGTTTTGCTGTAATCTACGAAGTTGACAAAAAGAAAAAGCTCAATATCTACACCAAAATTTTATTTTCAGACTCATCATTTAGCAAATTTTAATGTAATTTCATTATTTAGAAAATTTTAATTTAATCTCATCATTTAGTTATTGAACTAATTCACGTAAAGTAAGCAAATTTTAGTGCTCTTATACAAATTTTATGTTTCACATTTGATTATCTATATATCATTAGATGATTAAAAAAAATCATATATATGTATATCATTATACTAAAATTTCATATAATTAATCTTTTATGTACAAAATATTGAGTGTTTTGAATCTAATTTGATGAAAATCTCATAATAATTACCTATATATTCTTTCTTTTCTATTTTACTTTCCAAATCTTTTTATTTATAATTAAACAATATGAAAGATTGTAAATAATTTTCAAATCAAATCTCTATAAATTTGATATTGTAGAAATCCAAAAGAAATTGTTTTATTATTATATACAAATATTTTCACTCTGTCTTCAATTAAATAGTTTCACCTTATAAGACATTGTTTGCAAATTATGATTTTTTTAATTATCGGCAATCTAGTAAATATATACGGAAAATTGGTTTTTTCAGGCTCGAACTTTCCGAAAATGTTAAATGTATACCTAAACTTATGTGCAGTGCTTTAACATACTTAATCTATGTTAACATTTGAATTTCATCCCTAAACGTTGTTTTAGTTTGAATTTCAACCTTAACCTTTTCTTTTTGTGCTAAAAACAATTTCCGACCTAACTCTGTTAACTCTCCGTCAGAAGACGCTTACGTGGATGCCACATAATTAACGATGTCGTATTTGGTTGTCGTGAAATTGAAGCTTTGAAATTGAAGCTTTCAAAGCTTCAATGCAGAAAGGATTACATGAGAGTATTAACTGTTACATGATTGTGGGATTTGGGAATGTGTGGACTTCTCCTCCGACATATGCTGTTCCGTTTTCAATCGAAATCTCAAACTTTCCATTGTGATAAACTTGAAACACATCCTCGTTCTCACTAAAACAACAGAGTTAGAACAAAGTAAGAATCGAACATCATATATAGCCCTGGTCAAAGTCAACTAAGATACTGACTGAGAAAAAATAACGTATCTACAGTGCGTAAAACCCTAAACCGATCTAATCGAAGCCACAAACTAGAAAACATTATCACGCAAGCCATCTAAACCCTAATCGATCCAACAATAGAAAGAAAAAAAAAATCACTATTTGAAAGTTTACCTCATGTCTCCAACCTGTAAGTGATGATAACCAAAAGCTTACACCACCTAAACACTGAACTCGATGTTTAGGGTTTCTAAACTCTTGATCGCTCTGTTTCTTCACTTTGACGAAGAAGACGAGCATATGAAATGTTGTCTCGCTGTTTAAGTATTTTCTAAGTTATATTTTTTATCATTTTTTAAGGACCAAACGATGAAGTATTGCATTAGGAGCTTGCATTAGGTCCAAAAGAGGTTTGCATGGTTTGAAGTGTTAAACAGGTTCATTTGGAGGTTATTTGGAGTGGAGAAAGTGAACCAGGTGAAGAAATGGTGCTAAAATGATCAAAAATGGTGAAAAAATGATTTTGGGATCTCTCGGCAAAACACTGTACCGCTGGTCGACGTTTCTTGGCTAAATTCCATACCACGGACAGGATCTCTCGGCCAAACACGTACCGGCTGCTTAAGTTTCTTGGCCAAAACTCTCCAGTGCAGATATATTTCACAGATTGCGTTACCAGAAGGCCTTCCCAACCGATTCAGCTTCTGGGATCTTTAGAAAAGATCAAGATAATTGAGTCAAGGTTCCAGAACAGTTAGAATCAATGAATTTGGATCAGTGAGCTGAAAGATATGGCCATGGGAAGACGATCTTGTCTTGCATTTATTCTGGAGAAACCCGATACGCCTCAAAGACGCCATTACCGGAAAGCCTTCCTGGCTGATATAGCTTCCGGAGTCTTCATGAAGGTTTCATAGCAGTGGATCTAGTTTCCATAACGCTTGAAAATCAGGAGATTTAGAGCTGTAAGCTTGGAGATATTGCAATCAGAAGAAGGATATGTCGAAGAAGCCAATTCGGACCGGTGCATTGCACTTCAAAGATGACCCATCCGGGAACCTTTGCTCTCCCCAGATGAAATCGAAGTCTTCGCTAAAGTTATTCTGGTTGAGTCATATTTCTTGAGGATTTAGTCTTGTCTCATTTGGAGTTGTGAGCTGAAAGTTATATGGAACAGAAGAGAAGCAGGTCAATTCAGGTTTCAAGGGATGTGCCTGTGTGCTAAGTGTTGTGTTGAGCCTCTGTGTGATCACCTCGACTTTTCATGATACCGAGGCCTATTTGCAAAGATTTTGGCCTAAACTTCGGGCTAACCCCTCGGTCATACAACACCGAGGTACTTTTGCTCACCAAACTGATCCTGAAACGACTAAGTATCAGCTTAAGCATCTATGGGGATTGATCTGGGAATTGTCTAAGTGTGTTCCTTCACCTCGACATAGGAGCCTCGGTACAGTCACACCAAGGATCATTTCACAAAGCAATTGGGCAACCCCTCGACCATTTACCTCGCCCAGATCCACACCGAGGCTTCCTTTCTTGAAGATACAAAGCCCTAAACGACTAAGTGTCAAAACTAGCCTCGGCTAGAACACCTTGGTATGTGAGGCCGAGGCTCCTTTTCACCGAATGAAATGCCAGCTACCTCGATCAAAGACCTCGCCATACCACACCCCAAGGTACCTTGTCACGTGCTCAAACTCACAAAAAACTTACTCCAGGGTTTCCAGATTCAAGAAAGATCAAAGCACAAAGATCATGCAAGATTCAAGATGTGTTCTTTATGCATCAGCTAAGATTCACCACACCCTCGACCTAAATACCTTGACAAGGACCTGTCCCAAGCCGAGGTAGTCACCCAGCAACCCATTTTAAGACCGGATTAGTACCCGGTTTGTTTCGGATTGACCCGGTTTGATTCACTTAGTATAAATAGTTTTTTTGGAAAAAACCCTAAGAATCATCCATTCTCTCTTTAGTTTGCTTGCCTTTTTTGTGTAAAACTTGGTTCTTTCTTAAGGGATATCTCGTTTTTAATCATTGGAGGCTGTTCTTACCATTTATTTTCATCATTTAAAACTTCTAAACATGATTAACATCACCTCTTGCAAAGGAAATGGTGTGTTCATCATGATTAGTGAGTAGTCTTTTCATAAGGTCTTAGATAGGTAGATTATGGTGCAAAGATGTCAGATTAGGGAGTTTAGGGGTTAGATCATGCATGTTCCATTCTCTAAGTAGCTGTTCTTAATGCTAGATCCTTGATAATAGCTTGGGTCTAGATCATAGGCATTTCACACACCAAAAGTATTTGATGAAAATGCCTGAACCAAGCTATGTTAGAGGTTTATGCATCAAGACCATGAAAATGATTGTTTTGCTCATAAATGACATATTAGAACTGTCCCTTAATGCTCATTGATTCATATTCCACAAATGGGAATTTGGTTTGAAAGTGGATTAGTGTAGAGGTTAATACCTTCATGAGAGGATTAATCTAATGCTGAGTTCTAAGTTGAATCGTTTTCTGTGATTGTTGTTCATTAGTTCCCTAGTTTAGCATTGATGCACCCTAATCCAATATCCTGTCTAAGGCCTTTGTCTCATCATATTACTTTCATCATCATCTTATCTTTGTTTGCTTTGTTTATCTATTTAGTCTTGTCTTAATCTAGTTTAGTTTGCTTGTTTACTTGTTTGAAACCAAAAACTATCTTTCTTGCTTGAATTAAGTGGAAACCTGCATGAACTAGTGCCTAATCTTACCCATTATGGATTGATACTTTCTATGCTGCAACTATAGAGGGATTGATAATCCAAAGAGCCTTGAAAACTCTTACCTATCAATTGCAAGTAAAGAGTAGAGAGAAGAGCGACCTCGAATCCGCTCAAGTTCTTTCGCGAATTAAATAAAAATATGGTTTGATAACCAAAGCTTCTGATTGACTGAATTTTAGCGCTATTTTGGCAGTATCAATGAGGGATTCTGATTGGCTGATATTCCTTTTATTTTCATTAGCCGGATTTCTTTTTTATTATTATCTACATATTCAAATTATAAGGGTAAGATGGAGATATCATATTTTATTAAATGAAAAAGAGTTTGAGATAATAGAATGGGTAAGGGAGAATATTTTGCTCCTTTTAAGAAGTTTTTTATAAATTTTCTCTGGGTTTTTGGGTTTAGGATTTTAGAAGTTGATGCAAAGTAAAACTGAATTTTATTTTCATTGGAAGAAAAAAGGTAAATTAGTTCAATAACTAAAAAACATATTATATATTCATTATTTAGCAAATTTTAACTTAATCTCATCATTTAGTTATTAAACTAATTCACCTTTTTCAACAAAGAAGGAAAAAAGGATAAAGTAAGACAAACTTTAGTGTTCTTATACATATTATATGGTTTTTGTTTTATTATATAAAAATATTGTTACCCTGTCCTCAATTAAATAGTTTCACCTTATATGACATTTTCGAATTTTGACTTTTTTAAGAACTGGCAATCTAGTAACTGTATGCATATGTCAATATCTTATAAATAGTCAAAATAATGTGTCACATAGATATGAAATGCATTAAATATTAATTCAAACGATAAATTACACTACCTAAAATGTTCACTTGCCTTATTACAAACACCTTTTCACTCTCCATCTATCTATATAATAGGTTGGTCACCAACACCTAAAAATCAACATCTCAAACATTTTGCAAAAGAAAAAAATAAAGAATAAATTAAACAACTAATCGCTAAGGTTATAAAATGAAGTTCGCAACTGTAGTATGCATCGCATTTGTGATAATCGCTGTGTCATCTTTGACTCCAACCAAAGCAGTCATGGAAGATGAGAAAGTGACATGCAACCCGAAGGAGCTTCTAATATGCATGCCAGCAGCAAAAACCGGAAGTCAACCGTCGACGGAATGCTGTGGAAAATTGAAAGAACAACAGTCTTGTCTATGTGGCTACAGTAAAGACCCATCGTTTAGTCAGTATATTACATCTGGAGCTGCTAAAAAAATCTTAGAGGCTTGTGACATACCTATTCCTAAATGTTAAAATAACTATTAATATTAAAATATAAAAATTTGTGTGTAATAATATTTGATTATTGGGAGTTTATTGCGGTTTTACCTGATTCATACTGTACTATTTGTTTTTTTTTTATATAAAATGCAAATTGAACTCAATCCATCTTCATTCTCGAGCCTGTCATGGGCAGGATTTTAAATTAGTTTTTGAAATCTCCGTGAAAATCTTGAAAATTTTAAAACCAGCATCTCAGATCAGAAAATTCAAAACCATAGTGACCCTAACCTAACTCTAATAAGTTTGGCACTTGTACATTGTATATGTAAGGGTGGACAATCCAAGTTTTGGGTTTGAAAATCTTTTGACCAAATTTAATCTACATAAAATTTGGATCAAGTTTTTAGGTTTTGGATGAGGTTTAAGTAGTTTGAATCGTAAATAATTTAACCAAGATAAACTTGAGTTTAAATTTTTTTTTTTTGTCACTTGAGTTTAATTTTATTTGGGTTTTTTAGATATTGTATTAGGTTCGGTTATTACATTTATAAAAATTTATAATAACATTGAAAATAAATTGGTTATGTTACATATATGTTTAAATTTTATAGTAAATTATTAATTTTAAAGGTTTGGTAGTTTAATATTTATGTTTATTAATGTATATGTTATATAAATAGTATATGCAAAAACAAAATTAGCTAGGTTTTATCTGGTTTTTTTAGTTATCTAAAAACCAATCCAAATAATCCAAACCCAAATTAGTATAAATTTGAAGATTTAAATAAGTTTTTACAGTTTTAGAACCAAAAAAAAAAAAAAAGTTTTTACAGAAATGGATATCCAAACTAATTGAAGTCCTTTGGATTGGGTTGAATTGAATTGGGTTGGGTTGTTTAAATTGACCATTCTTATGAACATGCTCTAACAAGAGGTACTGGGTCTATAAAATTTGGATAAATTACATTATTGGGCCTAGGCCTGATTTAAAATTCATTATTTGACCCGATTACCCGAACTCGCTCCGGAATATCCATCTTCAACTGGTTCTCGACGCCCAACGGAAAAAAAAAAAAATATCAAGAGGAAAGCCGATTCGACGTTCATCTCTGAATCTGTTAACTCTTTCTCTCGGTGAAAAATATATCGTTCAGATTTTGTAGAAATCGTGATGGGTTTATCAAAAGGTAGATTGAAAGCATGGTTCAATAAGAAAATCACCGATCCTCTTCTCCAGATCTTGCGTAGGTTCGTCTCCTTTCTCTACGCGTTTTGTATCATACTTTGATCGTATCTGCTTATGGATCTGAAATTAGGGTTACTTGTTTAGTTCTGGCTCTCGATACCGGAGAGAGATTGAATTCGATAGATCTCATTTGCTATTTGTTTGATCGTTGGTCTTCAAAGCTGAGACCTTTGTTGGTTTCTCAATTTGGAACACTAGAGAGACTATACAGACAGTAAAGGCAGAATCTTTATCCTTCTGTCTTAATGTAGCTCCTAAATGTTCCTTTAGGCATCTCTTTCTCGCTCTCTATTGTTTCAGAAATGCTGATGTTGTAATTTGAGTTTAATTTTGTTTTACTTTTCAAATTCCTTTAGAGGTACTGAGCCAAAGCAGCTTGCTTTCTCCGCCGCACTTGGCATTACATTGGGAGTATTTCCGATATGCGGTGCGTGTCTCTTCTCCATTTTCTCACTTTGGTTATGTTTTGAGATTGCAATGTATCTTATTTAGGAATGGTTCTTGGTTTTGTTAAACAGGTGTTCCTGTGTTTCTATGTGGAGTAGCTTTTGCCTTGCTTGGATCTGCTTGTCATGCTCCAACCGTGATGTTGGCTAATATCATTGCCACTCCAGTAGAATTAGCGTAAACCCTTATGCTTATTTACACATCATTAAGAGACAAATTGGTTTTTTATCATCAGTTCTCTTCCTGACTTGGATTTTGATTTTTCCCTTTCGTTTCTTTCAACAATGAAGTCTCGTGGTGCCTTTCCTACGACTCGGTGAAAAAGTAACCGGTGGACCTCATTTTCCTTTGACATCAGATGCCTTAAAGAAGGTTTTCACTGGACAAGCCTCTCAAGAAGTCTTTTTAAGCATTGGAAATGCAGTAAGTAGCTAAGAATGAGACTCGTATCTCTTGACCATACTAGGGATGTTAAAACCACTTGTTGGCGTTGGTTATTCTAAGTCTTTTTATCTTGACTCATATGGTTTATTGGTTTATTGCAGTTACTAGGGTGGCTTGTAGCAACACCGTTTTTCTTCATTGGGCTATACGTTGTGTTGCTGCCATGTTTCAAAATCTTGGTCCGCAAGTTCAGTACCGTTGCTTCAACACCTACAAATGCGGAGACAGAGCTTAACCCAAAGCCAAGAGTCGCTTAAAATGTAACTGGTGTTAGAAATCTCACTGCTCTGTTATCAACACGAAGCCCTTGAATTGTAGACTAATGTATAGGGTATATACACGCTTGCACTGTCAAGTCCTCACACTCTTGTTTAAAAACCTCTTATGAGAATGTCAGTAACCGAAAATGATGGCGGTTACATTTAAACGCACAGATTTGGCAGCTCACACAACCGTTAAGTTTATTTTTGTGGGTTTTTGATTTTGGATTGTGGTCAAGTTTAATAGACTATATCCCAACTTTTACTATCAAAAGAAACTTGTGTTTATGCAACTGAAGAAACCGAACATTAGGATCATTATTGTGATGGAGAGAGTATCTAACTCAGAGTAAGATTGGTTATAGAACATTTCTAACTTACTTAGTACCAAAAAAATAACAGTTGACTTTAGAGTTGACAATGATGATGTCAAAAAGAAAGATTCGAAAATGTCTCTTGGTTCGTACCAACAAGGTACGTTGACAAGACTAATAAGCAGAGCGAGAAGGCAGATCTGCGGATCTCCGCGTCTATGTGAACGATCAAAGCTGATGTGTTCATCATCCATAACTATATATTTATATATATATATATATATGTTTATAGAATGAAACAAATTGACATTAAGAAATTACAAGTTCAGATATATCTACCGTCGACGTATGATTTTGTTTGTTTCGAGTGTTAGTGACATTATCATATTATATACCAGAGTGCAATGAAGTTTAATCGCATTAACCGAATGTGAAAAGGATTTTTGTTTTGGATTTCACAGCCTTCATGTAAACTAGACAAAAATAAGTGTCGACAAAAAGAACTCTTAAAAGGAGCTACAAGCCTTTAAAGTCCGATTGCTAATTTAGCAGAGTAAATAGGCATATCAAATAGAGAGAGAGATTTTCTTCGGTGTTTTGAAAAAAAAAACAGTAAGAAATCTACCAAATTAGGCGTATCAAAGTCATTATCTTGTGTATTACTGTTTACTCATGCTACTGCTATGTATTTGATATACCAGATTTGTTACTAACAAAAATTACGTGACAAAAATGTCTTCGATAGTAAAGTAGCGATGGTAAACTAAAAATGTCATCCAATGCATAGTTTCATTGTGCATATAAAAAAAAGCATAGCTAATTACTCTAATTGACGGATTTTTAAAAAAAAAAATATATCTGCACCTTTGAATCAGCTAATTTTTAATATTTTAACTGAGAATATTAACAACTTACATTTCATTTAAGATAAATATTGTTAAAAAAAATTATTTTTGAGGTATTAGGTACGTGTACGTCGTAGGCAGCTTGTAATGAGGAGGGATCAATTGACCCATGTGAATTTCTAAAAAATTATATATACTTGTATTTTAGGAAGGGAAAATAGTTGAAATGTTGAAATTTAGATTAATAACCCCTATAAAATTTGCTCAGAATACATTGTAAATAAACTAAAACTGAAAAAAAATTGGCTAGATCTGCCAGTACATTCCATCAAAAAAAGCATATAAGAAACTCGTTAATCTCAATTATCAAACTGAAAGGTATACTTGAAAGATTACATTGCCTTCTTGTAGTTTGCAGCAATTAATGACTCTAATTAATGATACTGTTATTTTGTTATTTATTCACTAAAATGGGCATATTTTTCTTAGTTCTATTTGTTTATTTATTTATCGTTAATTTACTAAAAAAATTCTAAATTACAGGACTCACATGGTTCAAGAACTCGTCAACTTTTAAAACGAAATAAATGAAAATTAGTAATCTATTTATTTTACTTAAATTAGAGATAATTCCAGCGAGATGATGTTATTCTTACCAAAACAAACAATATAAAGCCAAAAAAATAGTGTTAGGGAAAGGAAAAATCAAATAAAAACAAAAAGAACGGAACATGTGTGTGTCTTGTTTTCAATAGTGTTACTGTTTATTGCATTCTATAAACTCTAAATTAGTTATCCAAGAAACAAATAATTTCCTTCTAACGTTTATTAACCATAATATCTCAGATTTTGTTGCTATCCTATTTCGTAATTTAATTTTAATAATATTAAATATCGCATTTGTTCTCTGACATGTTTCCCTTTAAAGAAATAAATAGCTAACACATAACAGATGGCTTTTACTGACACCTGAATACACTTCACCTGAAACTTTTCCACCTCTCTTTCTTTCTCTCTGTCTCTCTCTCTCTCTTTCACAATCTTATCACTATTGTTTCACCCTCCGATTCCAAATCGTGAGATTCTCTTTCTTATTCTTGGTTCTTCACTTTCTCAGACAAACCAAAAAGACTTCTCTTTAGTTGTTGTTGTGGGTTTTATCTATTACTTGAATCTTGAGATGTCTTACAGTGACCCAAATCAAAACCCAATCCCAGAAACTTACATTCCACCGACCAATGACACTAACTCGATTGAAGCCGTGCAAAAACTTAAACTTTACCAAGCTTTCATCTTCTCCATTCCCATTTGCTTCACATTCATCGTCCTCTTCGTCTTCTACGTCATTTACCTTCGGCGACGAAACAGCAGCGTCGATTGGTCTTCTCTCCGAATGCGTGGTGGCAACTTCGTCTCCACCAACAATAATCTCTCCATGGTAATAACATAATCCTCCTTTTTGTTAATCTTTGCTTTGATGAGTTATTAAAAAATTTTCAACTACATGCATTTTAAATAGGCTATAATGTTTTTGTTGATTTTGTGGGTTTTATGTACCTTCTCCTTCTTCTTTATGCTTTGATGGGTTTTTCTTCTTGCTTTGATGTTGTGGGCTTAATAAATCATTTTTAATAAAAAGAAAAAAAATTATTAAAAAAAAGACATTTTTTTGTTACATTATTTGTTGAGTATAGTTCTGTAACGATTTTGTCGGATCAAATATGAACAGGTTGAATTAGGACTAAGCAAAGAATTAAGAGAGATGCTTCCCATTGTCATCTTCAAAGAGAGTTTCTCAATCAATGATTCACTGTGAGTTCACATATTCTTTGTTTTTTTATGTTTTGTTAACTGAGAATTAATTGTTTTTTTCAGTTTACGACCTTGACTTAAGATAATTTTAAAGTATTATTCTCTCATGGAAATTTTTCATTGACAGAAGTTTAAGACAGCCAAAGTAAAAAAATGGGAAAGATGAGAAATTTTTTTTCTGGTTTTTAATTTATTTGTTCTATGATTCTATCCATTGTTTGATGATTGATTAGTTACTTGTCCCTTACGAACTTCTGATTGGGAAATGGATAATGTGTCTTCTGGTCAAAAGTAATTCGTAACCGTTACTTATCTACTTTAGACTGAAAAAATTTCATCTTTTTTTCTTTTTCGGATTGGACCATAACGAGATCAAGATCTCACTCAAGCCTCAATGGTGCAATTTTGGTCTGCAAATTGAGTGATTGAGAATAGTTCTTATGAGTTTGTGGTTTGATAACAAGAATATGATTGTGTAATTTGGAAGTATATATATCTTTATTTTCAGATTAACTATTGGCCTTATTAGCTCATAAAGAAAACTGACCAAACTGCTTTTGTTTGTTTGAAGAGTCAAAACATAAGAAACTAGAATTAAGAATCACCTGATTTGACTTTTGACTTGAATACAGATGTTCAGTGTGTCTTGGGGACTACCAAGCAGATGAGAAGCTTCAACAAATGCCAGCATGTGGGCACACTTTTCACATGGACTGTATTGATCTTTGGCTCACTTCACACACAACTTGCCCTCTTTGCCGTCTCTCTCTTATCCCACAATCTTCTCTAGACCTGTCCCATCAAACTCCAATGCTTGTCTCTACCATGGAGAACTCTAACACAGGAGGAGTTTCGGCTCAACCAGAATCCCAGTCAACAACCGAAGCAATAACTCACATCGATGATGGCCAATTAGGTGACCGAGACAGTAGAGAGGTCTTTAAGGAAACAGAAGTGAATAACCGAAACAGCGTAGGAACATCTAATGCTTGTTGTAATTGCAGACTTGGTTAAATTGCATAAGAGCTTTGTCCTTTGATGATCAGTTGGTAAATTTTAGTGTATGTTGTTTTTCTTGGGTTTGTGACTTGTAAACATTGGTAGGAGTGAAATGATAGCATGATCCTTAGGAACAAAAAAAATAGTAACTTTTGATTTGATGTTTCTATAATGTCATAAAACTTTTACAAAGTTATCATACTTTCTTGGACAATCCTCTTCTTAAAGGAATTGGTCGGGTTCCACTCAATAAAATCCTCTTCTTAAAGGAATTGGTCGGGTTCCACTCAATAAAATCCTCTTCTTCATAGTGAATTAACTGAATTTGTCCCATGCTTGTTTTTTTTTTCTTTTGCCAAAATTGTCCCATGTTTATTTGTTTTTTTTTTTATAAAATGTGAATCATATATATAAAAAAACTGGAAATGTTTCATACAATGTTTCAACGCAGCAAGAAGATTAATTTGGGCCCAAAAATATAACAGAAAAAAAACCCAAATGAATCACATAATTAGCACTAACATACTAAGCAAATTAGCTATAAGGAGAGCAAGGTTGAAGGATTTTTCCTCCCCTTGGCAAACAAGATGTCGCAGATGCAGCGGTCAATAACTTTGAAGACAGAGTCCGGGGACGAAGAGATTCTGGAATGGATCCTAGCATTCCTCTTACGCCAGATGCAGTACACACGGTCACCTAGGAACAAAGCCGTTTTAGGATAGATACGTCCTTAGATGAAACAGCACAAATCCAAGAGAGCAGAGAATTCTAATATGGGAAAATGGTTGTAGGAAGGCCAAGCTTTGAGAAAATCTTGCACCACACCAATTTCGTGAACTCGCAATGAAGGAGAAGATGGTCCCTTGATTCATCGAACAGGCTGCAGATGCCGCAAAGAGCTGTCATAGTGATCCCCCAACTAATCAATCGAGCGTGAACTGGCAATCGATCGAGCTGCGCGATCCAGAAGTTGAAAGCGTGTCTCGGGATAAAGCCCTTAAACCATACGAGCTTCCACCAACTCACCAAAGGCGCAGAAGGCCTCAAAGTTTCCCAAGTTGCAGATGCCAAAAAGACTCCTTTGCCCCACTTCCCTGGTGCCAAAGATAGACATCCTCACCTTTTTGAGGAGACGGAGCAGGAGTCTCCAGGAGAACCCGACGGATGCTTTGCAGGTGCTGAGAGCGAGTGCGAATACCCGGAAGTTTACAAGCATCACGGCGCGTAGCATCATGAGCAGAACTCCCCAGAGGGATACCCATTTGTCTTGGAACAAGAGGACCGGTGACATCAATAAGAGGCCCCAAAGAACACCAATAATCATACCAGAATTTGCAGCTCAAACCATTACCAAGGGAACACCGCAAGAAGAGCTTTGCCAGAAGACGCAATCTAAGAAGGGAATTCCAAAACTATGAGGATGAAGCTTTCTCCTCTACTGCCCAGAATCTGCTTCAATCTGTGCTCTCTATTCCAGGCCATCCATAAAGAACCTTCATTCACAAAGAGTAACCATGTTTCAGATTCAAGACTTTGTTTCAAGTGTATAAATTTCTTAGACCTAAACCACCCTCCCTCTTTGGAAGGCAACAATGCTTCCAAGATACCTTGACACCAGCGCTGTTATCCAGATCCCCAGTCCAAAGAAAACGACTGCAAAGTCTCTCCAATGTTTTGATACAACTCTTAGGCAGGGGAAAAGCCGATAAACAGATATTAATGGATCCATAAATGACGGAAGATATGAGTTGCAGGCAACCGGCGAAGGAAAACGTTTTAACCATCCAGTTACTAAATTTCCGAGAGATGAAATCAATAAGAGGAGCATACTCGGACTTGCGAAGCTTTCTGTACATCAACGGAAGTCCAGAGTATTTGACAGGGAAAGTCCCAATGAGGAAGCCAATGGAAGATGATGCCAAGGTTTCCGCATGGGTCAAACCCACTGTGAAGAGTGCAGACTTTTCCTTATTCGTGCACAACCCAGAAAGACCAGAAAACTCGTCCAAAGTATCAACAATAGCTGTTAGAGATTTGGGTTTACCATCACAGAACAGCATCAAGTCATCGACAAAAGAAATATGAGAAATCTTCGGATTCCTTCCCTTTGGATGATAACCAATGAGACCAGCCTCAAACTTTGAGTCAAGCTGGTTTGTAAAAATTTCTATGGCTAAGAAAAATAGATACGGTGACATGGAATCACTCTGACGAAGACCTTTAGAGCCTTGAAATAACTGTTGATGCTTCCATTGAGACAGACTGAGAAGCTAGTAGAAGTGATGCACTGCTCTACCCAAGTAACAAAGACTGCAGGAAAACCGCTGCCACGAAGGACCTCCAACATAAAATCTCATTTTACGGAAACGAACGCTTTGCGGAGATCAACCATCAGAAGGCCACGTCTAGAGGTATTCTTCTGATTAAACCCCTGGACCATCTCAGTTGCAAGCAGCACATTTTCCACTAGAAGACGACCTTTAAAAAAAGCGGTTTGAGAGTTAGAAATCATGTCCAGAAGGACAGCTTGAAGTCGTCGAGCAATGATCTTTGATATAACATTATAGACCGAGTTGCAACAAGAACTGGGTCTAAAGTCTTTGAGCTTGTCAGCCCCTGAATGTTTCGGGATAAGGCAGATAAGAGTGGAGTTCACTTGTTTGAGCAGCTGCCCCGAATTGAAGAACTCCAAAATCGCTACCGTGAAGTCTTCACCCACAAAAACCCATTTGGCAAGAAAAAATTCTTCCGGATAACTATCGGGTCCGAGAGCCTTGTTGAGAGGCAAAAACTTCAGATCTCACTTCAGCAGCAGTGACTGGAGCCGAGAGAATAGAAATAGCCTGATTTGAGCATTGAGTACAACAGAGGGAGTGAATCTGGGCACGAGCTGAGTCAGAGAGAGGAACAGTGTCACAGGCGAGCAAAACTTTGTAAAAGTCCATGCAATGAGACTGAATATCAGGCGGGTCTTCTATCCTTCTTCCATAGTCATCCAGAAGGTAGTGTATCTGGGTTTCTGATCGACGAGCAGTCATGAGCCTATGGAAGTAGCTGGTTTTTCTGCCACCACTTTCGGCCCAGTTTACCCGAGATCGCTGCCTCAAAAATCATTCCTCAGGATCAGCAAGTTCAGACCAGATCCTTGCAGCCTCTTGCTCGTTGGCAGCAGTGTCTGGGGAAGGATCCAAAAGAAGAGAAGATTGGCATTATTGAAGCTTAATCTGAGCCTCAGCCACTCTTTGTTCCAAGTTTGAGAAATGCTGCTTGTTGAAATCCTTTAAGATCCCTTTAAGCGCCTTGAGCTTCTTAACAAGAACAAACATCAAGTACCATTACACTCAAAATCCCTCCATGCCACAGAGACTGTAGGGATGAACTCTTGATGCATTATCATAAAGTTCAAATTTTTAAATGGTCTGTTCCCAGTCAAGCGAGGCTTCCCAAGATATATATTGCATGGGCTATGGTCGGAGAAAAGGTTTTCCCCAAAGTGGGCATAATAAAACGGAAAAGCCAACGACCAATGATCATTAATGAGGGCACGATCCAGCTTCTTTGCAAGGGGGCTGGCCAGCTGCTTGTTCCACCATGTAAAGTAGTTGCCACGAAAAGTGAGATCAGATAGACTCAAAGAGGAAATGCAATTCCGGAGATCAATCATACCACTGGTGATTCAGGAGCTGGAGTTCAAAGTGTCGGAAGGGTCTAAAGACTGATTAAAGTCCCCCAACACAATCCAAGGAATAGTAATAATGAGGGGATCCTGAGCAACACAACACATCTCTCCCCACAAAGCGTTTCTCTCATCTTTAGTCTTCAGAGCATACACAAAAGAAACTACGATATCCTGCGACATACCAGGGAGCCGCACAGAACAGGTGATCATCTGACTAGACTTGTAGCGGAGAGAGATCGATGGATCTCAGAGCACCCAGATGTGTTCCATCTCAGAAAATTCGTAGTTACTGACAAAACTCCTACCCGGAAAAGAGAAATTTACAAACCGAAGAGACTTGGATTCTTTCACCTTTGTCTCGATAATACTACCAAAAAAAGCCTTACTATGCCGAAGCCATTTTCTGAAAATACTACGCCGAACGGAATCGTTAAACCCTCTAACGTTCCAATAAGTCTACTGATATTAAAAATTATGTACGATTGGGCTCTTTTCCCTTAGAAACCCGATTATTCTTCAGAGCCTTGCTCTTCTGTTTGGATATAACTTCCACAAACTGTTGTTCATTTTTTTTAATACGCTAACAAGTATTCTTTCTGTAAAATTTTTTTTTTTTTTGCTTTGGTTTTATTCTCTCTTGTGGTTATTATTTGTTTTTATTGGTTTTTGTTAGTTGAATGAAGAGAATTATGAATAAACAATTTTGAATTTTTGATCATCGTAAGAGTGGGATGAGATTATTGTTGGTGTCGTAAATTACTACGACAACGTTCTGCCTAAAGTAGACAACGTTCTGCCTAAAGTAGAGGCTCATCAAAGTCGAAACTCAATAAGAGAAGCGAGAAGGAAGAAGCCATTTTAGTGGATCCACATTGTTTTTCTATCTAAGAACTCCTTTTTGTATCAAGCTATATGACAGTATATTATATGATCTCTAGACTTTGCTAGCGACACTGAATTGTAAATCATTATGTTCTTAGATCTATCAATAAAAATCCTTGTCTCCCTTTATTTTATCATCATAATATTTCACTGTTTATTCTTAATTGTGGGTCTAAACATCCACAGTAATGTACATCATTATAGTTAAATGAAAAATACGATGGTGGGATGTTTTCCAATAGCTCTTCGACGCTCAAGACAGAATACGGTAAAAAAAAAGATCAAAATACGGAAAGGAAAGTGGGCCAAGAGCTCTTAGGATGGAACGAGTCCAAACAAGCGTAAGTTTGATGGACTCTTTTAGGTAGAAAAAAAAAAAAAGAAATGTAAGATTTTTGGGGATGGAAATGGTTGGAGTGATGACCAAACAAGCGTAAGTTTTGTTTAGGAACCGTTGTAGAGTAGAAGTAAGAAAGTGGTTGGAGTGATGACCAGAACTTAAGACTGCTAGACCTCTGAATTACAAGTATCTAGAGAAATAACATAAGCCAAAGAAAGCAAAAAGAATGAGCACTTTTCTCGTTGAAAAGGGTTAAGTATTTCTATAATTTTACCTGACCTGAATTAGTATACCGGATTGGATTTTGGAATGTCGGGTCGACGGGTCGGTTTAGGAACCAGTGTGGTTGGGTTCAAATCTTGTTGATTGCATAACACTTCGGATTTTCTCACCAACTTTCTTTGGCATCTTCTGCCAGCTGTGAGGCCGACTCTTGGTGCATCCCATTTCGCTCTTAGTGTACATCTTGAGTTCGGCGGTTCAAGCGTGGTATGGACTTTTCTAAGCCATTCTCCATCTCTGCATCCCGCGAGTGGTCACTATCACCTAACACGTGTAAGCATTAAATATTGAATGCTTGTTTTATGGGTTTTTAAGAGTATGGGCAATTAACTTGGTCAAACTTATATTCTAATTGCCGAGTGGAGGGAACTTTGAATAGTGTTTCCCGTTTAAGAAGATATTTCTATATGGTATGTATCCTTTGATACTAGGACCAGACTATCAGGATTGTTTCGCCAGCTGGTGTCTTTCTCCGGGTACCTGTGTGGGTTACTTTCTCTTAGATACTGATTCTTCCAGATCACTGAGTTTTTAAGTCTAAGACATAAGGAAGACAACCTCTCATCCTTCTGACCACTCAGTTCATGACTTCTTTGTTCCTGACAGGGTGGTGTTTGCTATCAGGTACGAAGAACCCGGGAACAGGTAATCTTTCATGCCGGGTCTCCCGAATCCAATGAATTGGAGGTCAGATGCTATATGCTTAAGCCTAATACAGAACCTAATTTGGTCCAAGAAGTCGTACCTACAAAAAAACCATAAACATCACATATAAGCACATAATTCATCCACGTAGGAAGGATCAAATTTATCCCCAACAGCAATATAACACAATATTTTGGATGTAGTGACTTTGACTCACCTAAAACATATAAAAAATCTCAAGAGAATTTCCGATTAAAGAATATTCTTTTTTTCTTAGTAAACATGTTACCTGAAATTATAGGCAAAAAAATGAGCAAATACACTAATAACGAATGTAATAGAAGAGGTGAAAAATTATTGTTTTCCATTAGTTATATTCTAGAGTGCAACAAATTTTTTTTTTAGTAATATTCTTCAATCTCATGGAAGAAAAGGATATATAAGAGAGAGAGAGAAAAAAAATGTTAGATGATTTTCTGGTGTAATAGTTTTGCTAGAAGAAATTTTGTTATATATAAGAAAATTTCTAGTAAAATAGATATAATAAAAAAGTATAATTTACACGTACATTTGTAAATCTTATTCTATAGTAAAAATAACTATTGTTGGGATAAATTTATTTATTTATTTATATTTCGTAAATAAGTTGCTGTTTTTTCCGATTAAATATAGGTGTCGGGATTCTAAATATTTTTTTAAGAAAATCAAAATGAATATGGTACTTTATTTGGTATTATTCAGAAAAATGTAAGCAATTATACTTTGGATTGTCGAAGCTAGAGGTTGGAAAAGTACATTTTGGTTATGTTTTTTTTTGGGGGGGGGTGGTGGGGGGTTATTTAGATTGAAAAAATTACATCAAATTTGGTCTATATAAAATTTAGATTAAGTTTCTTAGGTCTTAGATCATATTTCACTATTTAATTTGTTTGAAAAGTAAACAAATTGACGAAAACAAACTCAAATCTAATTTTATTTGGATTTTAGGCTTTGGAGTAGATTCGGTTATTACATTTTTATACAAAATAATAATAACATCTAAAAAAAGTTTCAAAATCTATATAAAACTAAATAATTAACTTAAAATTTGGTTAATCGTAAAATTTGGTAATTTAATAATTATTTTTTAATCTTTTTTTTTTGCAAAAATTGTTTTAGATCCACTCGAAAGTGGAGAGCCTTAACCGAAACTAGATTTTAATCTCGTGCGTCCGCACAGGAATTTTTTATTTTTTATTTCTAATATATGTTGCATTTATTTTTTTGTTTAGATATAATTTATTTTTGTTATTTATTTTTTAAATCAAAAAATTGTTATCATGTTTTAATTTTAAACAATAAAAATTATATATTAGAATAAAAATATGTGTTAATTAAGTATACATTGATATAATGTTAATTATAAACTTTGTTATTATGTGAATTTAGATTTACATATAAAAAACCTATATATCTATGAATTTGCTAACCTGTCCCTTTATTTGTCTTAAATCTTTTTTAATATCTTACATATTTTGAAAAACTAACTCATATAATACTATAATTATAAATGTATAACTCTATAAATATTTACTAATATTGAATATTTAGATCAATTGATTATGAAAAAATATAATAAAATATTTATTTACTATTTGTGCTAGTATATATAAACTGGCTAACCTAATTAGTTTAATTGTCTCAAATTATTTTAATATCTTACATGTTTTAATAATTTAACTCATAGACCTTAAATATATATATATATATATAACTCTAATCAGCTCGATCATATTATTGTATAATATAAATATTTGTTAATCTAAAATATTTGATATTTTAAACCAATTGATTATGATAAATTACGATAAAATATTTATTTACTATGTATATTTATGAAAATATTATTTAAATTTTAAATTTTAAATTAAATTTAACATGTATTTAAGAAATTTTAAAATATTAAAATTATTATATAAATTTTCGTTATAAAATTTAATTATAATTTTTTTGAAATTTTTGAATTTAAATTAAATTGAATGCAGATTTTTGTAATTAAATTTAATTATCATAAATTTCTAATAATTTGAAATTTAAATTAAAGATGATCTAGATTTTAGGAAACCTAAAAATATCTAAATTAATAATTAATTTTCGGAAATTAAATATAAATATAAAATAAAATACTATAAAAAATATTTTGGGAGTGTTTGGAAACAAGCACTAAAAGTGCTTCTGTTTTAATATAATAGATGTGTTCAAAGATCTGAAGGTCAATCCCGTCTCTGTCATAGGAAATGCCCACCATCTCTCCTTTCTACGAACACACATCTTATTAATATGATAGATGTGAAATGTTTGGTGTTTTAAGATAGTCAAAGACTAATCCAAATAACCTAAACCCATATTGATAAATATCATTAGGCTTAAATGAGTTTTTGTAAAAATCCATATCCAAACTAATTTAATATTTTCGTTTTGAATTGAGTTTGGTTGAGTTGGGTTAGGTTGTTATTGCATACTTGTTTAAATTGCATAAAAGCTTTGTCCTTGAAGATGTTTTGGTAAATTTTAAAGTATATATTATTTTTCTTGCGTTTGTGACTTGTAAACATTGGTAGGAGATATAAAAAAACATGATCAATAAGGAAAAAAGAGGTAACCTTTGATTTGATGTTTACAAAGTTATCATAATCTCTTGGAAAATCCTCTTCTGAATGGAATTAGTTGGGTTCCTCTCGATAATCTTGACTTCTATTGCTTTGGCAAAATTTCATAGTGTATTGACTGAATTACTCCCATGTTTGTTCTATTATTTCATAAATAAATAAAATTAGAAATGCAGGTAAGAATGAAATTAAAAATTAAAAACAAAACCTAGATATTTATATCTCCAGATTGCAAACTCAAAACATGCATATTCATCTCTCGTTTTGATCGAGTCTCTTCAGATTTTGTCAAATCTCTTTTTTTCAGTCGTTGTTATCTTTGTTTCGTTTATCCATTTGGTAGAATATCTCAGTTACCCAACTCAAGGTATATAACTCTTGATCTTAACATTTTACCCAAAAAAAGGTATAGCTTTTGCCTCTTTTTAAACATTATTTTTTTACCTTTCGTATGAAAAGTTACTTCTCCTTTTTTTTTTGGCTTACAGTTACTTTCTCATTCTCTTACCTTCATATGTGTTTACTCTTTACTCTTTTTCTTATCCATTAGTTTAATATTGCATCATATTTACTCACGACTATGTAACTACTACTATGCCCCTTCATCTTCTTTGGTCTTGGCCAGGGCCGGCTCATAAATTTTATGGACCCTGTACAGTAAGCTAATTTTGTAGATATAAAAGCATAATATTACAAAAATACCTTAATTTTTACATCCAGTGCAAATGCACCTTTGGCACATTGCAAAAGCTTGCACTGGTCTTGGCTAGCTATGCAATTTCTTTAGGTGATCGAAGATATTTCACCGGTGAAGCTATATATTAAAATGCTTAACTTACAACCAAGAAATAAACGGTGATTGATATGTTTATTTCTTGGTTGATATGTATATAAACGGTGAAGATATATATTTTTTGGTTGCACTGGTCTTGGCTAGATATGCAATAAAATGTAGAATAGAAATATATATCTTCACCGTTTATATACATATCAATCATATTAAAATATATTAAAATCTCTGTTTATTTCTATATATCTTCACCGGTGAAGCTATATATCGAAGATACTTTACCATTTATTTCTTAGTTGTAAGTTAAGCATTTTAATATATAGCTTCACCGTTTAATATTTTTTGGCTGTTGCATAACAAGGTATAGCTTCACCGTTTATATACACTAGGTGTTTAGCCCGCGACTTGCGCGGGCCAAAAGGTTTTAAAACAAAAAAAATAAAAATTTATGCTATAAATTGAAAATAATTAAAACAACTATTTAAGACATAAAAAATAAAAATAAAGTTAACTAAAAAAGTAAATACAATCCAAAATTAATTACTTAAAAAAATACTTTATAACTGAATAATCCACAAACTAATTTAATTAAGAGAAATTCTAGTTTTTCGTTTCCTATTTTTTTTCTCTTCATTTTTTTTTCTTCCTCCCATATTTCTTATTCAAATTTATCATTCACATCCTTTATTTATTATTTAACATATTCGTCTTCTTCGTCTTCTTCTTTTTTGTTTTTATGGTTTATTCTTCTTCTCCTTCTGATTTTTTTTCATATTACGTACTCTTCATACTTTTTATGTCTCTATATCTTTTGAGGCTGAGAAAAAAGATAAATACACATTTCAAACTTAAAACTCTCCTTAAAAGTGTGTTATATTTATTGTTAGATAAGAAAGCTGCATTAACTTTTGTAGCTTGCTCCTTTCGAACAATCAAAACTGTTTCCGGGTAATCAACTTTAAAAAAGAGCTTAAACATATATACCAAAAAGAAATTCTCAAAATTTCTTAATTATGCTAATAACAAAATATCAAAAATTAAAACAAATATCAAAATAAGACTTTAAGTAAAATGGAGTCTCCACAAAATGGTTGTGACATTTTCACGATCCCAAGATTTGCAGATTTTTGTATATAATTTATCATCGATTTCTTTCACACTGTTGTGCTAGAATATTAATTTGTTACCCTATTAAATAATTTTAAAAAAATAAAGAAAATACAAAATTAGATGGAATTGAATCCTTCCAACATACAAACTTAAGAAAACTTAGAGTTTTAGCTACTTAAACATAAATTTTACATCTTTTGTGAAACTTAAGCAAGAGAAGCTTTACTCTGATCCAAAAACAACATTTTATAATTAACAGTTCAAACTCAACTGGAAATACATGAGATGAAAGCACTCCACACGAAAAAGTTTTCAGTCGGAAAAACGTGCAAAAGATCAAGGTACAAATAGTTACCTTTTTTCTCCTGTCTTTACCCATAAGTAAAATAAAGGAATCAGAAATCAATATCAAAAAATATCCCAACACTGGACATAAGAGACAAAACACACACAAAACTCATTCAAATAAAGTGATGTTCGAATAAAAAATAGTAATTTTGTTCATGTATCATCACTATTATCAATAGAACTAACTTTAAGAGTAAGAATATGCCAAGTGGACTAACATTTTTGCTAAAAGTAAACTCCTTGTTAGCTTGATTTCTTTTGTTCTCGGCAGCGACAAATGGGGTCTTGGATAAAACACAGACCACCATGTTATGCACCTCGTTCACCGAAGCTTCTTTTGAACTGTTATAAATTTAGGATTCATCAGATCAAGTAATAATCTATAATCAGATGATTAAACTTGTGTTTTTGTACGTGTTCTTTTAAAGTTTCATGTACCTTCCAAAAGTTCAATCAGCTTGGTAACCTTCACAAGAACCAGGTGAACTCACGTTTTATTGCCATGAGGGATTTCGACACCGTATGTCCTATAGACCATTCTGAATCGTCACCAAGAACCTACACCACAAAACAGAATACATGATCTTTTTGTAATAATTTTTTAAAACATATAAAATGCTCTTATCTGACCGAGAACTGGTTCGGTTCATGACCATAATCTAGATCTTCATCACCAGCAAATGAAATCTGTTGCATCGCAAGATGAAACAATAAAACACGAGCACCTAAGAAAGAAAAAACAAAAACAATCAAAAATTAAAACAGATAAGAATCAATAAACAAAAAAAAAGCTCGACTTAGCCCCAACTAATAAAAGAGAAAGAAAAAAGCACCAAAACTGGCTAATATATAAAACATAAATATGATAGATAATAAAAAAATCACAAATCTAAACCTAAAGCACAAAAAAGAAAATAAAATGTTACCCTTCGGTATAGCAGTAAAACTAAACAATCAACGATTAAGAAAATCCGGCTAAAACACCACCTCCTAAACAGAAAAAAAACATCAAACGCTATTATTAATAAAAAGAATTTATAAAATATAAATAGAATCCAAATTTTAATATACATCAGAACAAAATATATTTCTGGAAGCTATAAAAGAGAAGACACAAGGTATCACCTAACATATATAAAAAAATGTAGATCTACATGAGCTAACAGAAACGAATATAAAACAAAAATAACAACCGAATAGAAAATTAAACAGCACAAAAACTATTTTTTTAAGAAGTCACAAGATCATTAATGTGAAACACACGAAATATATAGCTTACATGATCGCCAAACATTACAACCGTGTAAGTGAAGAAAAAAAAATTAGTTGAAAAATCTTTAAAATTTATGCAAATCAGATAATTTATATATATATATATATATATATATATTTAAAAACAATATCTAAGTTGTTATCAAGACTTACTTAAAGATTAAGGGAGTAACATAACTATATATGATGATTTTTTTCATTTTTTAATGTTTTTTATAATTCATATAAATATTTTTTTTAAAAAGAAAACAATATCTAAGTATTAAGATTTACTTAAAGATTTATGGAGTAACATAATTATATATGATGATTTTCGATTTTTAATATTTTTTATAAAAATTAATTTAAAAAATCGTGATTTTAGTTAAAAAATCATGATTTTTGATTTGATAAAATCGTAAATTTTGATTAGATTGAGATAAAATCATGTATTTTGATTTGATTTAATATTATTACAACCTATATTATAATCGTGATTTTAGTTGTAAACAATGTTTTTTGTTTTGTTATTTTTGTTTTTTAAAAAATCATGATTTTAGTTGTAAACATTTTTTTTTAATTAAATCTAATTTTAAAGAGGGGTAAAGGGTAATTAGCCACTCTGAAATTCAATGAGAGAGCTTTAAACGAAATTTTTACTTCGCTTATAATATATATGATATCAATCATATTAAAATATATTTTTTTATTCTTTAAATGATATTACATTTAAAGGGAGGTCTTAATTAGGACTGAATATGAGAGAATCAACTTGTGTTTTAATAGTTTCGCAGCAACACAGAATATCTGTGTTTGTTACACAAGTCCCATTTTGGTATCCCATAGATTGGCATTTTCCATTGCACTCCATTATGTTTGTACATCCCGGTTGACAAAATCTTATATATTGCCCTATATGGTTAATAAATACATTAACAATAAATATGATACATTAATATGTAAATGATAGTGACTTTGAATCAACCCCAAAGTATATATAAACGTTTAAGAGAATTTTCTATCGATAAATATTATTTTTTCTTGCGTCTGAGACAATTTAACGCTAAGCAAATAAATTTGTTACCTGATATCATGGGCAAAAAGATGAAAAAAGACACCATTAACAAATGTAGTAAAAGAGATGAAAAGTTCTTGGTTTCCATTAGTTAGAATTTTTGAAGATGAAATGTCTTTTTTTTGGCTTCAGTCTCATAAAATAAGATGATATATATATATATATATTAAAAATGTGTTGGAAGTTTTTTTTGGGATAACATTAATGTTAAAAGAAACACTGGCATATAAGGATATTTCTAGTAAAATAGACATAATAACAAAATCTAGAATTTCCATATTAAGATTTGTAAATCTTATTTTATAGTAAGAAGGTTTTTGACTTTTTGGGATAAAACTTATCTATTTATCAATATTTGACTTAAGAGTTAAGAGTTGCTGTTTTTTTCAATAAAATGTAGGTGTCACAAACAAATTGTTCCAGGTAACTTTTTAATATATATATATATATAATATATATATTCTTATTATTATTTTTCAAATTAGAATGATCTTATGTCTTACTTTTTTAATTATTTAGTATTGTATCACTATTAGGAAGGTTATCAGATGGTTTGTTAATTAATGGAGAAATTTATATATTTCTAGTTTGTTAGATTTTGAGATGTACTTTTTTCTGTATTGAAAACAATATTTCATAATACATATAAATAAAGCATATGATACTTTCATATTTAATCTCATTGAATTCCAAATTTAATTACTGGTTTGTGAAGAATTTATCAATCAAACAGATGAAAAAAAAAAGACAATAAGAATATCATTTTTTTTGATTTTTTCCGTCTGTTCGATTAATAACTTCTTCACAAACCAGTTGCTAAAATTTGAAATTCAGTGACAGTTATGTATGATTAAACCAGCTGTGTTAATGTTAACAAAAAAACGATGGCTGTAGCACTGCAGTTAACATTAGCACCACTGGTTTAATCATGACCATGACGTTGTGTAAAGGAATATTAAGTTATTATTAGTAATGAGCTTAACTCACACCCAAAAGCTAGTTCAAGAGTGGAGGATTGCCACACTTATATATTGTCCACAAATCTTCTATTTCATCGATGTGAGACATTCTAATACACTTCCTCACACTCAGGATTGGACATCTGAAGTGTGAAGTTTGTGGGATTGGACATCTATGGGTGTGGCCCACAATCGAGAAATTTGAACTTTGGGCGCTGATATCATTTTAGTAATGGACCTAACTCACACCTAAAAGCTAGCTCAAGAGTAGAGGATTGCCACACTCTTATATATTGTCCACAAATCTTATATTTCATCGATTTGAGACATTCTAATAGTTATATCCTCAAGGCAAGCTTTCGATTATGCCTCTCAAGTTCCACATTCACTTATACCTAACCATGGTTGATGGTAGCAGATATCTTTTGAGGTAAATGTAGGGAAATGTAAAGGTGTGCTTGAAAAATATCATCCTATTGCACAGTCTTATCTTTAAAGCGAGTTAGAACATAGATGATCATCAAGAATGGCGCAAAACCATCATTGAAGACTTCATTGGGGTAAATAAGGAAACGTAATGACTAGTATAAACAGTCTTGGTGGTTTGTTTTATTAAGCTTTGGAGTTATAGAACTTAGACTTAGACCATTTCAAGATTCAGGATTAGATCAGGAATCACATTTCTCTCTACTACTCTAATGATGATGAATCTGTTCAAATCATAAGATAATTGAGCTTCGGGCAGTTTAATCATATAAAGATGGACACTACCATATCGTGAAAGCACAAAGACCACATAACAAAGATCATAGTTCCAACTGTACATATCTGTACATATTTTTTTTTAACTATAAAGCACTACATAAGCTAAATAAAAACTTGAGCCTCATAGTCTTCACACATACTAACAACAATGCTGCATAAGAACCAATTCAACTTCGACTGTGCACACAATCCGAATCAGATTTGTAGATCATGAGCGTGTACATTTGATGCCATGACAAATAGCCAACCAAATACCAAAGAGAATCAAACAGATAACTGCATCAATAGCAAGAACAACCTGAACTAGGCGCCGCCACTTCCATTCAAAACGTCCTCTACTCGGTACACACTCCTTGTGCAACGACGTTTCTGCTGCTGCTGCAGATAAATCATCACTGAGCACGGTTCTGTTCCCTCTATCATTGTATTTCTTGTGTTCTTCAAGCTCAAAGCCTCTGATTGAGATCACATGATCTTTCCCTTTCTTTTTCTCTTGCTTGTTTGACCTCCCCAAGAGCGGTGCTTTAGTGGAAATACTCACAGCTTCGCTCTGTTCAACAAGATTAACACTTAGACTCTTCGAATCGTTGTTGCTAACACGCTCGAGAGCATCTACGAGTTTAGACACAACAGGAACAAGCTGGTCTTCAACATTGATAGAACCAATCATCGCAGTGAAACTTCCACTACAGTTTTTCCTCGCAGCTTTCTTAAATTCGTCTCTCAGATGCTCTAGAAACTTAAGAACGCTGAATTTCCCTAAAACCTCATCAACAATGGCGAAATACACAAATCCATCTCCGATTAGAAACCCAAACCTCTTCTTACCTATGGATTCGAAGTACCAATTGTGTAAAGGCGGAGTCTTTTCCAAACACAAAGCCGCCAGAGACTCGTTGCTTTTGTCTCCGCCGTTGTAAGCGTAGAGAATCTGATTGTCTCTAGAGACACAACAGAAGTGAACTGTGTTCTTGATTGAACCCATACGGAACTTAAAAGGAGTAATCTTTTGTTGTTTAAGAAATCAAATTGAGACAGAAGAGGAAAGAGGAGAAGTCTGTGATTAGGGAAAAGAAGAAGAGAGAAATTGCGATGAAGTGGTCAGAAAAGAAGTCAAAGAGAAGAAGAAAGTACCAACAGAATCCTTCGGCGATGTATTCAAAATCGAGGATGAATTCTCTCATATCACTCTCTAGGGTTCTGGGTCATGTGTGGTAAACGAAAAAAAGGCTCAAGCTTTCAGTTTTTTTTTTCCCTCTATCTTTCGTGAAGATATAAAAGGAAAGGAAAAAAGTCAGAAGCGAAAAAAAAAAAACAGTCAGAAGCGGAGGACCAAAATAAGAGACTTGGTCCACAACGGAAAAGACAGAGAGAGAGAGGGGAAAGCTGATAATTTGTTTTATCGATAATCTAATTTGCTGGAAAAAATGTTTGGAGATGAATCGTTTGGTTTTTCTAAAAAATCAAAAACTCCCGTCGTCTCGTATTCTTTTTCTCTCTTATGTTTCCAAATCAATCAAACGCAACTCATCGTCACCTCTACGGCTCTACCTCTTCTCCGATACATTTTAGGGCCATAGGAATATCAATATATTTCAACGCTTGGGCGTTTTTCCTTCACTTAGTCTCTTCTTCTGGTGCTTCGCGATCTTACATCTTTCATTTTGTCTCTTATTGTTTTTTGTTCGCATCGTTTCCTAATTTTGATATTGGGTCGATCGATCAATCGATCCTGTGATCTGATTGTTTGTATGCCAAATCCACACGATGGTTTAAAAGCTCCACACCATGGACCAACAGCTGTTTTACTGGAGCAAAAGGAGTTGTCACAGAGAGCTGAAACTAACATCACATTTGTCGTCGATAACTTCACGCAAAACCGAAACGTTTCAAGGGTAAGTGATTTCTCTCATTGTTTCACTTAAGATCTATCACAATCTAATCGCTGGAGCATAGATTTAGTAATAGATTACCCTTAACTGAAATTCACTGGCAAAAGTGTTCCAATTTCCTGCAGCTGCTTATTGAGCTATACCAATTTTCTGGAGTTTCTACCTATTCGGTTTTCTGTCGGTGAGTGATCCACCGGTGAAGAACTTGCAGGAAACATACATGATGGATGCGAGCGTCTAGAATGGTAATTGATTATTTCGATCCATCTAATTCGAATGATATATCTTTACGCATCTCCAATTATGTCTTAAGGTTTAGGGCAGCTATTCAGATTTGAAGCACACAGAGTCGAAACGTTTTTAATCTTCGATGTTTAATTTTACTTTGCTTTAACTAGGTTTGGTTTTCTGAGCTTATATGCCCTTATTGTGACGATTGAATGATTTCTTTGAAACAGATGGACTACAAAAATAACATAGAAATACTGTTTCACGCTTTTCCGCAGTATATGTAGATGAAAAGCTCACTCATTTGCAAGGTTTGAATCTCTTTAACATTCCCTCATGAGTCTCCAGTTTAGCTTAGTTTTTTTCCGTTTCGTTTGTTTTCCTAGCTTAGGCTCTCATTTAGTTTATTAACTGAGATTTTCATCAATTAATGGTGGCAGGTTCAACCACCTGACACCATTTTGGAATTCGTATTGAAACAAAGAAATGCAGACCATGGGGAACAAAGAAACGCAAAGTTTGATTAAGAAGCTGAAAAGATCAATCGACTATTGCCTAGATGAGAGAACATTTCTTTTCTGATCAACTGATCATGCTGTCTCGCAGACTTTTATTTGGATTTAGGTTGTGGCTGGTCCATGTGCCCTCGGGTTGGCTATGCCACCGGCAATGCTTGTAAGTTTTCTACTGAGTACAGATATGTCTGCTATGAATCAGACAGTGTAAGATGTTGAAGAACATGATATATTCTTTAGGTTGGTACATCATTAGAAGCAAGATGAGGATTACTTCTTCGTGGTGGTGATATTCTTGAAAAAAAATTTTCCATTGATTGTTGCCTTTAACATAACCGGAACACTGACAAAGGGACACCCTCTTGTGACTGAAGTTATTATCCTGAAGATCCAAGGTTAGGCTCTTTGCTATTTTTATGATGGCTCTTTGATATTTCAAAATATTCAACGATCTATGAGTTCTTCAGATACTTTCCGTTCTGTGTGGTTACCTATGTTAAGCTCCTATAAAAAGGGACCTTATGGGTCTGTCAATTTACTTGAATTGGAGTTTTTTTTTAAATCATTAAGTTAATATACCGAAAAATGAATCGGAATGTGGATATGGTTTAAAGGGGAATCTGATGGGAACAAAAGAGTAAGACTAGCCAAACATGGAGCTATAGTGTCCAAAATATTTGTATTGTTTCATTATAAAGTCCCTTTTTTGGTTAAATGATATGAAATCTCTTACATACCCATATTTTGCGCCTAAAGACTCTAGGATACTTGTAAAATACTAGCTGAAGTCTTGTACTGTCTTAAATATTTTTGCTTGAAGTTGTCCATATATTTCTTTGTTTTGTGATAAACATCTGATTCCTGGTGTTCTGACGTCAACACAGTCTGAAAGATACTGGGTTAGAAGTTCAGGTTTTGAGGTTAGCAGCTGCTGTTGAATCAAACACTACTCACCCTGTTGTGAAAGGGATTGTTAAAGCAGCTTGGGCTCATAATTAATGACATCACTGCAGGCAGAGGATGGAACATTTACTGAGGAGCCAGGGCTGCAGTTGGGACCTAAGAGTGGGTCCAGCGGTATAATTTGTTCATCTTTTGCATAAGTGGTTAGCTATTGACCAGTTTAACCGACCTTCTCTTTGTTTCATGAAACATCTAATACCATGGGGAAGAGAATTATACTAAGAACAAGGCATGCTGTAATAGGAGTTAACCGACGTTCCTCTTTTGTTTCTCTTTGTTTTGAATTTGATTCAATTTTCTGTCAAAATAAATAAATAAATTATGTAATGTTACACCTCATGGTAATGGAACATTGATCGCTTCTAGACAATGGAACGTAGAATATTATTAACGGTAGCTAAGACAATGTTCATTTTCAACTTTTTTTTTGTCTTACCTACATTTACAATTGTGGCTTATTTGAATTCCCTATTTTTTTTTTTAACCTTTTTAGGTTTGTAGCAAGTCAAATGTTTAAACAAACATTGTGTTCCCAATGGGGAATTATATACGGTCATTTTTGAATCTTTATTTTCTTCAAAACATAAGTTATTCGTGATTTCAATACATACTTTTAAAAACTTTAGTGTTGTATATAATGTATCAATAAGAGATAAAGATTATGTAGTGTATTAGTAAAATATATAATATAAATTTTAATATATTTTTAATATAATTTTTATAGTATGTGTGCAACCACCTAAAACAACTTATATTTTGAACGGATAGAGTAGTTGTCTACTTTCTTTCAATCATTCCAATCATATTAATCCTTGTTCTAAAAAAATTTTCAAGAAAAAAAAGTATAATTGATCACAACAATGTATTAATGTTTAAAGAGTACATCAAAACATCAATTATTTAAATTGGTAGAAATATCAAATAAGTATAATAGTTTTGATTAAATAATGTATTTAATGTTCAAAGGGTACATGGAAATATCATATATTTAAATCGGTATAAATATCAAACAAATATAATAGTTTTGATTAAAATAATATAGAATTTTAAAATTTATGTATAAATTTTATAAAATACAAATAATATAAGCTAATTCATAATTCATAGCTAATAAGGTTGAGTACATGTGGCTTATTTTTCTTTGGAAAGATTAACAAAATAGGAGAAGCAATATATACCCATGGATAATTGCATAATTAGTTCTCTCTTAAATACTGTTTATCATCCATTGTTCATAAGCAAAACTCCATTTAACCCTTTTCTTTTTAATTAATTACATATCTCTCTTTTTTCTTTTTCAACTACTTTCTAAAACAAAAAAAAGAAAAAAAAAGACGATGAAGGATGGTGAATGTAAGAAGGTGGATGTGTAATAAATTAGTGATAGTGACTGTGAAAACGATAGTAGCAACGACTATAACAATAGCGGCAAAGATGACATTGTTGAAATTTACTTAAGCGGAATGAAGAGAATTATTGAGAGAGAAATGAAGAACATAGAAAAAGAGATGAGATAATAGTTTCCAAGAATGTGTATATTATTCAATAGCAGCGACAATACATTTATAAAGAGACAAGAGAGATCCTAGGTCTAGGTTACAAGAGAAAGAGACAAATAAGTGGTTAAGCTCTCCAGAATCATGTGTGAGAATAAGGTTGCTGGCTTCTCAGATCCCGAAGATGATTGTGACAGCCCCAACGGTCATATTAACCCTGATCTGCACCCGTGACTAAGGAGGGGACCACTGTACGGACACCTCTTCTCTTCACCGAGTTTTACAAGACTCTTCTTGGGCCTCTCAACATAGTCTTGGCCCTTAACATTATTCTGGCCTTGTGTGAATACACAAAGACTTAAACATGATCAATACTCCCTCTCAAGCTTAGCACTCAAAGTCGCATAAAGTTCTTAGAGAGCTAAGCTTGAAAACCCATGAGCATCACCTCATTAAAAACCTTAACAGATAAAACCTCATGGGATAAAACTCTGTTAAGGGAAAAAGAGTGTGATGTCCATGGATCAAGAAGCAAGATCACGGGTGTGTAAGATCCACCAGTCCAATCTTGTCAAAGATGTGCTTGCAAACTTTTAGACTCGCGGATTTGGTAAAGATATCAGCCAGCTGGTCTTCACTCTTTGTGTAGCATGGAAGGATTACCCCTTCTTCAATCTTTTTTCTGACTTTATGGCAATCGATCTCTATGGACTTGGTCCTCTCATGGAATACCGAGTTTGATGCAATGTGTATTGCGGTTTGGTTATCACAATGCATGGTTATGAGACTTGATTGCTCAATGCCAAAGTCTTTTAGAAGAGCTTTGAGCCAAGTTAGCTCACTTGTAAGCTTCCGCATTGCTCTGTATTCAGCTTCAGCACTTGAGCATGAGACCACTTTCTGCTTCTTTGTCTTCCAAGTAACAATTCCCACCAATGAATGTACAATAGCCAGTTGTAGATTTCCTGTCTACTCGATCTCCAGTCCAATCTGAATCACAATACCCCACAATCTCTGTATTATCATTCTTTCCCATCCAAATGCCTTGACCTGGGCTTCCTTTTAGATATCTGAGAATTCTTTCCACCATGCTCCAATGGTAAACGGTTGGAGCTTGCATATGTTGGCTCACTTGATTAACCGCAAAACACAGATCCGGTCTTGTTAGAGTGAGATAAATAAGTTTACCCACAAGTCTTCTATATCTTGATACATCCTTGAAGGCTTCATCTGTCTTCTCCCCCTTTCGACTGACCTTGTAGCCATCCTCACGAGGAGTTTTAGCCGGTTTAGCTCCAAGCATGCCTGTTTCCTTAAGCAGATCGACCGTATTCTTTCTTTGAGATAAGAAAAGACCCTCCAGAGATCTATAAATTTCTATCCCCAAGAAGTATTTGAGCTCTCTGAGATCCTTGATGTCAAATGTGGAGTGGAGGAATGCCTTTGTATCTTTAATCCCTTCTTTATCATCACCAGAGATTATAAGATCATCAACATATACTAGAACCACAACTAGGCCGCAATTAGTCTTCAAGGTAAACAAGGTATGATCCGAATGAGACTTCTTGAACCCATGAGCAATAAGAGTGGTACTTAACTTGTTATACCAAGCTCTTGGGGATTGTTAGCCCATAGATAGCCTTGTGCAGCTTCAAGACTTTTCCTGGTGTAAGCGTGTCTTCTAAGCCTGGTGGTGGTGTCATATAAACTTCCTCTTGAAGATTTCCTTGTAGAAATGCATTCTTTACATCCATTTGCCAAAGATCCCATGAAAGATTAGTGGCTAAGGAGAGCACCACTCTCACGGTGTGAAGTTTAGTAACCGGAGAAAATGTTTCTTTGTAATCCTCCCCTGGAGTTTGCTTGAATCCGCAAGCAACTAGCCGAGCTTTATACCTCTCAATGTCCCCATTACTCTTGTACTTAATCATGAAAACCCATTTAGAGTTGACCGGTCTCTTCCCTGGTGGTAAAATCTGTCTCATCCCAAGTATGATTACGCTTCATAGCTTGAATTTCATCATCGATCGCTGCAACCCACACTTTCTGATCCTTAGCTTCCTCATAACATGTAGGGATCTCATGCTGATCTATTTTCCCAAGAAAGGCCTGATGATGGGATGGCAAGAAGGCAAGAGAACACACGGCCTGAATAGGGTGGGAAACAGCTTGACTACTGTAGTAGACTCTGGTATTAACCCAATTTGAGGGGTCTTTAATAAGTCTTGAACTCCTTCTAAGCGGCTGCACCACCTCCTCGATGACCTCAGGTTCATCTTGAGAAGCTCCTTCCTCTGCCTCCATATTTCCTTGATCTTGTGAACCTGGTGATTCACCTCCTGCTGAAGCCGGTGCTGGATCTTGACTTGGACCCATCTCCTGATGCTCCTCCTCCTCTTGTTCTGCATCTATAGGTGCCGTGACTTGAACCGGTGCTGCTCCTTGTCTTGGAGGATCTTGATTTCCGAGGTGATCAAGGAGAAACCGTAGGCTTGTGGCAAGATCAGATGGTGAACTGGACAGGTCTTTCAAGCTTTCCCAATCCTTCTTGACATAATATCCTTGCTCCTCAAGGAATTTGACTTCTCTAGAGACATAAGTGCGACTGTTGATGGGATCATAGCATTTGTAACCCTTTTGAGTTGTGGAGTATCCAAGGAACATACACTTGATGCTTTTAGCGTCAAGTTTGCTTCTCTGTTCACCTGGGATCAATACAAAACAAACACACCCAAAAACTCTCAAATAATCAAGTGAAGGTTTGGTTTTGTTCAATACCTCAAAGGGAGACATGTCTTGTAAGACTCTAGTAGGTATCCAGGTAATGAGATAATAGGCTGCAAGAACCGCATCTCCCCAAAAATTTTTTGGCACATTTGTATGAAACATCATCGACCTAGCCACCTCCATCAAGTGCCTATTCTTCCTCTCAGCCACACCATTTTGTTGTGGAGTATATGGACAGCTAGTTTGATGTAGGATTCCATGTTTTGATAAGTGCTCCTTGAATTTTTGGCTTGTGTACTCCCCACCATTATCTGATCTAAACACTTTGATCTTGGCATTAAATTGGTTAGTTACATAATTTTGAAAGTTTGTAAATGCCTCAAATACTCGATCTTTTGAAGGAAGAAGAATAATCCATGTATATTTTGATTTTTCATCTATGAAGGTCACAAAATATTTGTTACTATCCCTAGACATACATGGTGAGGTCCAAACATCAGAGTGCAGAAGATCAAAGCAATTTTCATAAATAGTAGATGATTTAGGAAATACTATTCTGCAATGTTTGCCAAGAATAAACAATTCACAGCTAGAGTGATCAAAAGAAATATCAGGCAACATTAATTCAAGGGCACGAGAATGTGGATGGCCTAATCTAGCATGCCATAGAGCACTAGTTGAATAACAAGACTTAAATGAAACAACAGCATCTAATTTATTTGATGAAACTTCTTCAAGAACATAAAGATCATCCTTGGTTCCACCTTTCCCAAGTAACTTCCTACTCTCAATATCCTGAAAATGAACATTATTAGGACCAAAAACCGCATAACAATTTAAGTCTCTAGTTGCTCTTTTAACCGATACTAGGTTGGAAGTGAATTTGGGTACATAAAATGCTTCACTAGTCTTGTTAAACAGATTCAGTTTACCGATTCCC